TGTTGGGTCCCAAGTTGCACGTTACATCCTGGGCTTTAGAGCTCAATCCCTTGAATGCGTTTCGCCGACGTGCCCTCATCCTGAAGCAGCATAACAAAGTCTATTCGTGGCATTTGTTCAACATCTCGGGAGGATCAAAAGACCCAGGATAGCCTCTGAACGGATCGTGACTGCTGCACTTGACATTCTGCGGGGTGCTTAGCGCCCGCAAGGGCTCCTCAAGTAATGGGTGCATGGACCCCTGCAAGCTGCAAGAGTTTTCCAGCTCCAACTTCGCTCTGTGACAGGGGCCCAGGCTTCCAGAACCCCTTGCAGATAATTACTGTACGAACCGACTACGACTAGCCTTCAAAGAGCACACTCCATGTTATCCGGCACCGGGGCCGAGGCAGAAATCGCCAGCGTCCTCGAGAAAGTCAGGAAGCTTGCTCGCAAAGAGCTCGGGGAAAAGGTCACAAGGACTGGGTCGGCCTGATGCCTTCGCCTTCTCACGGGGAGCACGGGGTGTTTGCAGCATACAAGCTCTGCCGCTCAGCGGCGAAACTTTCCTGGCGCTTTGCCATGTTTCGCTTTCTGTCGAGGCTTGCTGAGCTGCTGGCACTGGGTCTTGACGAGCCCATGGATGCTGCTCGGCTTAGACGCTGACTAGGCTTATGCAGACACTTCCCGACTACTAGTACGACGTTTCCTGTGCAACGCACTGACATGCTGAAGCAGTACGGGACGGAGCACCGAAGCAAAAACGGGCAACTAGCACCAAACCCGATCTGGCGGCCCTGCAATGGATGCAGGCCGGATGTACGTATGTGCCGATTTGGGTGTTGCCCCATTCGTGCCTGCACCAGGTCAACACAGTTCTTTCCGGCGGTCAGTTCCAGAAGCTGATGGTGGCAGCGCCCTCGGTGACCACTTTCCGACTGTCTTCCCGAAAGAAGTGACAGCTTATTGAAAGCTCCTTGATGCCTGCGAGCACCGGAGCCAAGGCTCGGGGCTGGCAGATACAGACTGCAGAAGCAGTATAGGAGTTGATGTTTTGGATTCTGAAGCTGCTCCCCACTGCAAAGCTCCCTTTGCTGCAGAGGCGCACTGCTTACTTGTCAAACCGGCATTCATTTTGCTGGACGAGCTGCAGCCTCAGCTTCAGGAATCTGTGTGTGTGTGTGTGACCAAAACTGATGCCGCATGTAATGGTCTGCAAGAGTGTGATTCCAGCTTGCTGAGGTCAATGGCACATCTCTCGCAACAGAGTCAACACCACCTGTATGGCCTGTTCCTTGGCTAGATGCCATTATCCAATTCGGTGCCTACAGTACAAGGCTTCTGCACAGACCTTATGAGGCCAGGAGGTCCGTGTTGTTGCTATATAAGAGATCACAATGGCACGTTCCCGGAAACAGAGCGGCCAGGCGTGGTGACTCAGTACAACCACGCTTCGCATTTTCAACCCGACATTGGAAAACTGCAAGAAAGGCTTCAACATATTTCAACATTGTACAAGTTTCGCCCGCAAGGCTTATCGACGAGCTCATTGGACCTGGACTTTGTGGACTGGTCAGCACATGCCATAACCCGCAGGACACGGATGTGGGCCAAGCGAAGCTACATAGCCAGTCCATGGATTTCGATGTCGCTCCGATTTAACGGTGTGCCTTGCCAGGACCTTGGGCGATATCATCAAGTCCATTATCGGATCAGCCGCAAGGTTCGAGAGAGGCATCCTGCCTGAACACAGTCCTGCAAATGCTAGCCCGGCAAACGTCCTGGAGTTTCCGAGAAAAACTACCAGCGCAACCTGAATGCCTTGATATCCTCGAGCAGGCATTAAGACTGCACATTGACCTCCAAGGTGCGACAGCACTGGCAGCACTGGATCTGGGCTTTGTACGCGCAAACTGGAGCTGGTGGAGCCAGGTCGGTCTCCTTGGTGGCAGTACTCAGTACCAGGTTTGAAACCAACTTCGACGGCTGAAGCTTGTCCTGATAAGCTCTCGACTCTGAGTTGGCGGAAGCCTGTCCAAGCCCCCTTTGACCCCACAAGATCCATCAAACCTGGGCATGCATTGGCGAGCTGCGACATCGGAGGTGCGGCAGGGGAGGCAGATACACCCAGCCCGGCACAAGATGTGCACCGGCGCCTTGCCGAGCAGGACGTTCGGTCGAATGCAGCTTCAGAGTGCATCAGAAGACTGTAACTGGCTTTTTTTGCCTGAGCACGCGAGCATGCACCATCACTGCTGGTGGATCTGCCTTGCAGTTATGGTTCACTCATCCGATGCGCATTGCAAGTGCAGCCAGCATGATCACACTTTCATCACCTTGAATAAGTTTTGTAGGGGTTGCACAGGCTTCAGGCGTTGATGGAGGTAAGGCACTGCCATGCCTTCAGTATCACAACAATCCTGATGGACCTTCCGGAAGCGAGGCACTGAGTCAGAGAACAGGTGTTGCACTGTTGGCATTGCTACGATCAACCCTTTTTCTCCTGCGGTCCTCATCGCATGCGCACCCCTACATAGATATGTATGTATGTATGTATGCATGTATGTATGTATGTATGTATGTATGCAGGTAAGTATGTAAATATGTATGTATGTATGCATGTATGTATGTATATATGTATATATGTATGTATGTGTGTGTACACTGTATGTATCTTGATCGTGTAGCTTGTCGGGACCCTTATTGCTGCATGTACAGTTAGCATGACTTGAGCCGTATATGTATGTATATATATATATATATATGCATATCGGACCTGCGGCAGGCCCATTTTCACGTAGATAGCATTGTTTGTTACACGTAGGTCGCATGGTTGCTCCGTTTTTGAAGGTGATACTTATATTTTCGTGTCTTCAATACCATGATGTGTTTGTGAGGTATGTTTCTTGTGGGTTTGCTATTTCGGGTCACAGTCATAGTCCATTCTTGATTCCTTCTGGGTTTGGCGTGCCCAGAAACTTCTGACTCCAGATCCGTATGGCCCTGGACTTTACAACTCATCCTTCGTGGAGGACTAGCAGGCGTCTCGAACAATCCCCTGCATTTTGTAGAATATTATCCACTACAACGAAGTCCGCAATGAATACTACACTGTTACTACACTTGAAAGATGTGAGGATAGCATGCAGATTCTTCAGCTTTCAGGCTCGCTTGTTCATGAGTCCCCCATGGTTTAGGACCCCAGTTAGGACCCCAGGCAGAGTGCAAAATCCGACTCATGGTTAACATTCCTTCAAGGATCCGTCCTTAATAAGCCTTCTCGCTAGGGGAGCATGTAGTGTAGGTTAGCACATCCGGGATAGCAGCACCAAGAACTCCCAATTCGTCCAGTTTCTGAGTGCTCGAACCCACAACCAGCGGATTTGGCATCCATGCTGGGCAGGAAGGAAAAACCTTCATTCAATTGATAGCAGGTTCCATATCTTTAGAATACTTATGGGGGGCGCTTGCTGCAGGGTTGACTAAGTTGTGCGTGCATGTGTCGGTTATGTATGTAATTATGTACATGGAATCGGATAAGCACGTATGCAAAAAAAGATTTGCAAATGCATATAAGATATATGTGTAATATATATATATATTAATATATATTAGGTAACCCCACCCCCCTATTGACCAACCTCCATTATATTGTGATTGCGGGGGGGAGAGGCGAGGAAGCAAATTCAGAACAACACCAAGCAGTAGATATCACAAAACTTTAAAAGCGTAGCAAAGTTGGATTTCGAATTGTGTGCTCAACCGAAAACCAAAAAAACAAATCTCCAGGCCTATGTTCCCGAATGTCGTGATCAAAGAAACCAAAATACCAAGAAAAAAAACAAAAAAAAACAACAAAAACACAAAAACAAAAAAAAAACAAAATCTAGGACACTATGGTCCGGAACATAGTTCTTTTTTTTTTTTTTGTTTGTTTTTTT